TGCTGCTGGCCTGCCGGGACAGACCCTGGCAGACAGCAGCTGTTGGAAAGCATGGCCAAGAGCTGCCTTGGAGGCTGCGAGGGAGGCGCAGAGCCAGAGCAGAGCCAGAGCCGGGACATGGTTCTGCCAGTCCTTGTGCAGGATCTGCCCCTGCAGTGCCATGGCTGTTCTGCTTTTGCATCAGTTTTCATCTGCTTTGAGAGCCGGGAGCACGAGGGTGGGTGGTGTCCTGCGCGCACAGCGAGCCCACACAACCAGCCGCTTGCAGAGCATCGCTCCCTGGGACGATCCCATCATAGCCCCCTGCTTTCTCCACTCCTCATGCACCTTCTCCTTTGCTCCATGGGAAATGAGACTAGGGCCATGTTGAGGAGATAAGCTGGTGGAAACAGCCGCACTGGGCTGGGACGTGCTGCCTGGCCTTAGCAGTTGTTTCCTTGGCCTGGTGAGGGCCACGGCTCTGCTCTCCTGGCCTGGCGACCTAGACTTCTGCTCACCGCGGGCTCAGACACTGCTCAGCTTGTCCTCCCGACTGCGCTTGGTCATCACGCCTCACACTAGACTGAGCCCAGTTTATCTCGTGGCAAGGGACAACTGTTCGATATGGAGTGACAACAAGCGCGGGAGTTCCTCATGGGACTTGGTAGGCTTGGACCTTCCTCAAGGCTGGCTGTCACCTAGGAGGGAGCAATATTCCTGCATGTCCTCACATCACGGCGGAGACCTTCCCACATCACTATGGCCCACCAGACATCAGCAAATGTTTGATTTCCAGTCTCCAGTCTGGATATGTCCTGGTGGGATGCCACCTTGCAGGCAGCAGCTTTCCCCTACGAGATGTCCCCTGTCCCTAAGCAAGGCTCTGCCCCATGGTGTTTGGGCTCAAAGGTTACCTTGAGCATCCCAGCACAGCAGCTGAGCTGGACACACACACAGAGCCTGTGCTACCACCTGTTTGTCGGCTGGTGGGTAAAATAAACCTCCCTAAAAGCTCCCCCGGGAAGCAAGTCCTGGTGTTGGTGGGACTCTGGCCCCGGGGGACCAGCTGCGTGGCCAGCACAGGAGAAGGGGATCAGCATCCACGGCTGGTCCCCACCTCAGTGCTGCAGAAGACTGGGCACAGCTCGGGGAAGCGAATGTACAGCCAACCGCAAGTTCAGGGCAGCAGCTTCGTTTTCTGTCAGCCAGTCCCCCTGCCTCTCTCGCAGCCCGGCTCGGTGCTATTTATACCTCGCTCCACGGCCACTCCGCGGCGCAGAAAGTCCTGGTGGAAAAGCTAAGGAAGTGAAATTACTTTGGGGGAAGAAATGACACTACCCGTTTATAAATAACCCGGGTTTCATTGATCTTTTAGATGCTCTCTTGGCAGAGAGTCCAATGTCATCGCTCCAGCAATGCAGACAATACTTGGGCATTGTTTTATTCTCAGTTACAGGGAAAAGGACAGCACCAGCTGCCTTTCTATCTTTAGCCCATGAGAGCACCCTTCAATTGTTCTGCACTTCAAACAATAGGCACACGTGTGGGGGGTTTAAGATTGCTGGCCTTACCAGAGCATTTCGCATCAAAATACGTCCTTAGAGACAATAGATTTCTTTCATGCCCCAGCTGAAGCTGGTATTTATACCACAGAGAAGCCAGGGTGCAAGAGCTCGGTCTTGTTTTTCTTGTGCATCATGGGCCAGCGAGAGGTTCGGCTCTCCGGGGAGCCCTCTGAACTCTCTTCCACAAAAATAGCCCTATTGTTCTCTCTTTATTTGGCTGGTGCCAAACATCACATCATCCCCTCCGCTCGCTCGCGGGGTCAAGTTAATAGCTTCGGTACTACACCATTGCAAAAATGAGTTTCTGCCCCAATGCACAAATATCTTTGTGACACAACATAGTTGGCCCAAACCTCAGACTTGGTTAGGTTGGTTTATTTGCAGCTGGAAGAGCAAAGGGGAATTGGGGGCTGTGGGGTTTTTTGCCCCCGTTTTAGGGTACCAGGCAAAGCAAGCGTGCCCGCGTGCGGTTGATGGGCGATTCTTTGACGGCACGGACAGGCAGCCAGGCACCCAGCTCTGCAACCGGCCCGTCAGCTGCAGTGTATCAAATGCCCGTGCATAGCTCAGCAGCGTCGCGGGCAAACGATCTCCTCGCTTTCTGGCGGCTCTGCCAGTGCCCTCGGTGCTGGGCCGCCTCTGCCCCGCGTGGCTGGGGGGACCTGGGCTGCGCCGTGGGCATCCCGGCTGCGGGATGTGGCTGCGTGGGGGACGTACCTGCTGCAAAGCTCCCGTTTGCGCGACACTCGCTGCTGAGTGAGAGAAGCAGGGTCACGTCAGAACTATTTATTCCCCCCTCGTTGTGGCTGATGTTGTATTGAATTTCAATTGTCTGAGCCCTGGGCAGCCTTTGAAAGGGGCCGCGACATCCCAAAGCCACAAAGCTCATCTTTGAAGGCTCTTTAACAGCCAGAGGAGAGGTTTACAAGTATAAAGTGCTTTTCTTTAAACTTTGTGGGACTCTATTTTTAGCAAATAAAGATAATGTCCCAGTTGCTGTTGTTCATCTTTTGTTGCATGTAACATGCCAAATACTTACCATGTCTGCCATATTTTTTTATTATTTAACCTTCTCTAAGCTACATTGCGGCTCTCTTACGCTGCAGCGGAGATTATGGGCTATCTGCATGTACAAATCCTCCCCAGGCTACTGGCTTACTTTGAAAAGATTTCATTCTGCAGACTGAATTTGGAAAAGAGAAAGAAAAGGCAAGTCACAGCTCTCTATAAAAAGACTTTTCCCAGTCTGAGCGGGGCGCATTCATTCGGGGAACTCCCAAGGACAGGGCAGCACCTTTTTCCAACTTTTCACGATGAAACTGGACCATTTTTTTCAACGTTTTGCTTAGGAACTCAACCTTTTAAGCCCTTCCTCAGACTCTCAGAGCACACAGAGAGGAGGGCGGACTCAGGATGTGCCAAGACCGAGGACTGAGGAGAAATGCTCCTGTTTGAGCAAACTCTGTCCTTCTGCATAGTCATTAAAACTCTTGGACTTTGTTCCTCACTTCCATCCCTTACGGGCAAGCAGTCCTTGCCCTGTGGTGGGGTCTGAGCAGGCTCCGAGCACAGGGCAGTTTTCCAGCAAGACAAGACTGGATCACCAGTCCACTTCCAAATTCAGCCTGGATCTGTATTAATTAAGGCATGAATCCACAGTTACTGATCAAAGGGACGACAGAGAGGAAAAAGAGAATAGGACTCCCGAGTCCAGAACAGAGACCAGATGGGTGCATTAGAGAGCTATACTTCAGAGATATTTCAGAGCTTTAATTCAGAGACAGATCTCTAAAAGTAGAGCTAAGAGGCTTGCAATGGCCTAGAAAACTCCTGGTGATGGTAACAGGATAAAGAGCTGGTCATCTCTCGGCTTGGCCTGGCCACCGGTGATGATCCACCTCTGGAGGGTGACCGAGTGTGTTACCAACAGGCATTGCCCAGTGCTTGCTGCACAAACCTCTCCCCCACATGCAGGCATGTCTCAGGGTCGGGGGCTGCCTTTGCACCCCCCTCTTAATGCGTCCCACCGCGGGGTGCCCTGCCTGGGGCGTCCCCTTGCTGCCCCAGGGTGAGGGCATGAGCATCACATGTAAGCACAGCACGCGTGCGTGAGCCTGGCACCCTCCTCAGCCGTCACGCTCAAGGTTAATATATGTGTATGTGTCTATACGTATGGTCTTAATCCACCCACAGCCTCTCTGCAGGTTTAGATGTCTCCTGCCCAGACCAGCTCCGGGGTGAAGGGCTTGCAAGTCATCAGCAAGTCAGTGGCCAAGCGAGGAAAGGATCCTGTCTTCCTCCCAGGCAGCCCACTGACGCATCCTACAGCCCTGGGACAGGCCACCGAGGAGACGGGGCGGTCTCCATCCCTGGAGGTTTTCAAGGCTTGGCTAAGTAAAGCCACAGTCACTCTGATCTGGTGCTAGGGACGATCCCAGTGTGATCAGGAGGTTTGGTTAGAGACCAGCCCCTGCCCTCTCTCATTCCCTGACGTGAGGAAATGTCCAAGCTAATCCCTGCTGGTAGAGCAGACAGAAAAAATGAGTATCTGCGGGCAGCACACTGGAGTCAATGAAATAATTCACAATTTCCCCATTTTGTGATTGCAGAATCTGAGCACCACACGTGGATTTGCTCATTCCACTCCCAAAGCTGCATGAGTGAAAACTTAAGTCCAAATAAAGATGCCGATCTGAGGCTGGTGTTCAGCCGTTGTTCTACTGGCTACACACAAGCGTCACACAACCCTCTCTTACCACCAATCAACCATTTCAAATGTTCATAGCACAGGTTGCAAACCAAGTCCAACCCCACTGCTTTTGTTCAAGCCTCACAGTTATATCATAAATGCACTGTGAAAATGCTTAAGTAATTATATTACTCCAGTAGATACACAAATGAGTGCCTTGTGATGTCATAAACCTTTTTTCTAGTGACACTGTTATGTTGATGGTACCTTACTGGCAAATGTGTTAGGATTGTTTCATTTTATTATGCTTATTGTAAGGGCAGAGTGAGTTAGGACTGACAGTTCCTTTGCGTATTTAAACAAAAAAGTAGGAAGGACCCAGTTTGCTTTGGATATATTTACACATAAACAAATTTTATCTGTTCCTAATACAGGCACGTTCCTGCAGAAATAACCCTCTTGATTTATCACACTGCCATTTCGAACCCTATTGCTGGGAAATGAATGTCCTGCAAGTATATGAAACTGTTCTGAAATCTGAGATTTACCAGATGTACTCGACCGCAGAGGCACAGAACAGCCCCCAGCCTCGGGTCTGCCCGGAAGGAGGGCAGAGAGCAACCCTATCTCCCGATGAACCCAGACAAAGTGAGCGCAAATACACATCTAAAGCGGGAGAAAAATATCAGCTTGCACTGTGCCGCAGGGCATCCCAGGGAGGGACCTGGGAGCGCCTCCCTACCGCAGCATGGCACATGGCCGGGGACATGCCCCTGGAGAGAACAATCTCTCTGGGCAAAGGCAGAGGTTTGCAAGACCTCCCTTTTGTGCATCTGCAAGGATGCTGGTGGTCACCCCGAGGTTGGGCTGGAGCACCACGGGCTCCCTGGAGGGGCAGAGTCACCGTGGTGGCCTCTCCAGGGGCTGAGGCTCTCCTGGGGGACCGTGGTGGCCACTCCGCGTGCCCGGCCGCACCCAGGCTCTTGGCATTCGGAGCTACAGAAAGATGGAGTTGTTCAAATACAAGTTCAGTTCAGGTGCTTTAATTTCCCAAGCCAGGCTTGCGGTTCCTCTGTCCGCAGGGAGGGAGCTCCGCAGGGAAACGTGCTCCACATTTGCCCTGGAGAGTGCTTCTATCCAGCACGATGAGATCTGCCCCACCAAATCCATGAAGTTATTGATCCCCGATACTCAGACAAGCCACGACCTCATCAGTGTTGGTGACGGATCCATTCTGAAGAACGTCCCTTGCAAGCCCCTACTTGTTCCTCAGCAGGGGGATGCAGGTGAGGTTGAAGCCTGGTCCCCACCTCACCTTCCTGACGGCAGGGATGGCCTTCCAGCAGCAGCAACCATACCCAGCGCCGGTGCCCGCGCCACGCCGTGTCCCTGCCAGCCATGGCACCTCGATGCCAACGGGGGGGCAGC